GAGTGAGACAGTGAGAGAGTGAGGCTGTGAGAGAGTGAGGCAGTGAGACAGTGAGTCCTGTTCTTCCTTATTTCAATGTCCAACTTTCACCTGCAGATGAGGCGATTGTCAAGGCCATAGCTTGGGTCAGTTGCACCTTAGTCCTCAAATTAATATTCTTGCTGTGTAATGCTTCAAAGAGGTCTTTTGCAGCAGCTTTCCCTTGTGCAGCAGGTTTACCCAGTGCAATATGTTGCTTGATCTCTTGACTACTGCTTCCGTGGACATTGGTTTTGGATCCAAACAAAACTGTAGTAACTTAGCTTAACACATGGAACACCATTTTGTTTTAAACCTCATTTTGTTTAAAACGGCCTTTAACCCCTGTCAGCAGTTAGCCCCCCTTCTCCTCCACCTTCTTCGGGCTCTCCAAATAAGACCTTGACTCTTCTGAGACATCTGCAAACTCTGCCTGACCAATTATCAAGAAATGTACACTATCTTGTAAGACCTTGAATTGGTACCTGCAGCTGTGCTGTTCCCCAGAAGCCTGTTACCCTGCCTGATAAGAATGTAACTATTAGAATATCCCTGCTCTTGGGCCAGCCCACTCACTCCTTTGAACTATAAAAATCATGGCATTTCTTTGTTCTGGATTGAGAGGCGCTAACTTACTCTCGATCCAGCTGTTTAATCAAGGCTTTAATTATTGATATAGAGGTGTGGTTGATCTGGCCCGGCACAACAAGGTGAAATCCTTGACAACTTCAATATTTGAGTTGTGATCCATGTTGAAGACGGCAATCCTTGATCTTCATCAACAAGTGCTTCAGGTCCTCCTCACTTTCAGCAGGCAGGGTTGTGTTTAAAAGATAGTGCGGTGCATATGCCATACCTTATCATATATACCGCAGTAAGTCCCAGATACTACTTTGTAATTAAAAATTGATCTCGTTAAGGAAATGTGCATATGCATACCAAGGAGAATAAATCCTATTAGTTACTTCAAAATTGCTTCTCACTCATGGTAACCCCACCAGTGCAGCGCAGAACTGTTCTGTTGGGTTTTGAAGCCTGTGGTTTTGCAGAAGCATATGACCAGGCCTGTCTTCTGAGGCAACTCTCTGGAGAGATTTGAACTGCCACCTTTGTTAGATAAGCACTTGATTACTTTTGGAATAAATACAGAGTATTTATTGCAGAGTACCAGGTGGACTAAATACAGAATAGAAAACGTTTCCTGGTAAAGCAGAATCAAGTTTTTCCTATAAATACATTGTGGTGAAAGTTCAGTTGGAAAACACTTTTGAAAATCTTTGAAAATCATTGACTTGTATTTACTTTCAGCAATTTGCATTTTCTAGCCCTGGAATGAAGTTGACCATTCTTTTGTTTATAAATTAAAATTTTGTATTTCTTCGAATTGCCTGTAGTACCTTTCCCTGCTTTTCTTTTGGGTTCTCTCCCCTTTATTTGAACAGTGCTGTTTGTACATCTCTGGTGGTATAGTGAACTGTACATTGGGCTGCTAACCACAGGTCAAAAGTTCAAAGCCTAAAGTTGCTCCATGAGAGAAAGATGAGGCTTTCTGAGTGCATAAAGATTTACAGGTCCCATAAAGATTTACACCTTGGTAAACCCACTGGGGCAGTTTTACTCTACCCTATAGAGTCACTATGAGCCAGAATGGACATGATGGCCGTGAGTTTGGTTTTGAAGATTAGGGATTTTAATCTTTTTCATATGAGGGGACACCCCAAAAACCTTTTTTTAAAAAAATAGCTATGCATTTAAATTGTTTTACAAAACAACTTTATTGCCTTCAAAGTACTCTCCATTACACTTAATCCATTTGTCAAACCTGTGATTCCATTCTTGGAAACATTTTCAAACTTATCTTTTTGGATGGCTGGCAGCACCTCCCTCGTTTTTTTTCTTCACCTCTTCTAAGTCATCCATTTACTGTCTTTGCATGACCCCCTTCATTTGCAAAAACAAAAAGAAGTTGCACAGAGCAAGGTCAGGTGAGTTAGGTGCATGGGTGCAAGAAGGGCATGCTATTTTTCTGCCAAAAAGATGCATTGAGACAGCTGCATGAGCAGGTGCATTGTTGTAGTGGCAAAACCAGGCCCCCATCTGCCACAAATCAGGCCTTTTTTTGTTCCACACTGTTATACAATCTTTTCAGAACCTCTAAAGAGAAAGTTTGATTAACTGTCTGACCTAGTGGAACAAACTCCAAATGCACTATAAGTCGATATTTTTGTCTGTTAGGAAAGTTGATTGACGGACGCCCAGAACGAGTTTTGTCATCAATCGGCATTTCACCTTTTTGAAACAAGAAAACACTTGAATTTTCCCCATAGCGCTATACTTGTAAGCTGTGTTCAACATCACAAAAGTTTCTGTGGAATTTCTCCCCAGCAGGAAACAAAATTTCAGGCCATATGTTATTTTCTTAAACCAGCCATCACAAAACACGATGTTTGAGTAAAAATGCTTTTACAGAAAAATTCACTGTGACCAGAGAGAACCTTCCCAGGTGACGCCACAGGGTGCACTAACTCAGAGTGAGTTGCTAGATGCTCAGCTAATGGGGAAAATGCCCACTATGAAAGTGTCGCTTAGCTGAGCTCTTTTCTGTTTTTCTTGGAGGTATCCAATACATATATTTTAATATTATATATTACACATAATTTTAGATATCTCATCATTTTTTTCATACTGGTGTTTTGTTTTTATCATAGATCTTTAAGTATGTTGCACACCTTTAATTAGAGCTGTATTATTTGTAGCTCAAGATCATATTTTATTAGGATAAATTGAAACCCAGTTTGATCAAGTTACCATCCATGGGCACATAAGTCTAAATTAGAAGGAACTCAATTGCAAGCTTCTGAACTTCTTTATCAGTGGTATCTCTACTGGGCTATTTTACATTTATCACTTCATTCTCCCTGTTTAACTTTATCAAGTAGGTTTAAAAATCACCAATTTCATGAGCCACAGTTAAAGATACAATAGTTATGGGAGAGGAGTAGGTGGGAAGGGGGAAGTGGGGAACCAACAAACTCAGAGATAAGGGAACAACAAGAGATCAAAAATTGATGGTGAGGAGGGCATACAATGCTGGGTCAGGCTTGATCAAGAGCAATGTATCCGAGAGGAAATACTGAGAGCCCAATGGAAGGTGATAGTGGAGCATGATAGTGGGATCAGAGGAAGGTGAAAGGAAATAGAGGAAAGAAATAAGAGGCAAAAACTATTTATAGAAGTATAGCTATGGGCATATATATATATACATATATATAAATATATTAATTTAAAATAAAAGGGATAGAGGCTAATGTAAATATATTTATGATAAGTATTAAGATAGCAGATGGACATTGGGCCTCTACTCAAGGCCTCCCTTAACAGAAGAACACTTGTTCCGATAGCCTGGCACTTTTTGGTACTCACCTTCCCAACACGATCACTGAATACAAAATGGGTGCATAAGCAACTGTGGTGAAGAGAGCAGATGGTTCCCAGCTATGAAAAGCTATAGCGTCTGGGGTCTTAAAGGCTTGAAGTCAAACAAGTGGGCATCGATCAGGGAAGCAAATAAGCCCACATGGAAGAAACACACCAACCTCTGTGATCATGAGGTGTTGACAGGATCAGGCAACAGGTATCAAAGGATTGGTACAGATAAGAGCTCTCAACACAGGGAATTCAGGAAAGATTAACCCCTCAGGAGCAGTAATGGGAGTAGCGATATTATGAGGGTAGAAGTATGGTCAGGAAGGGAACAAAGGGAGACAAAGAACAGTGTAATATACAAAATAACAATAATAATATATAATTGATCAAGGATATAGGAAGTTGGGAGGGGGAAAAAGGAGCTTATATCAAGGGCTCAAGCAGAAAATGTCTTGGAAATGATAGCGATATATGTACAAATATGCTTGATACAATTGATGTATGAATGTTATAAGAGCTGTAAGAGCCCTCGACAAAATGATGGGGGGAAATAAGTTTAAAAGATACCTGGAGAAAAAT